TTTTTTTTTTTTTTTTTTGAGACAGGGTCTTTCTATGTAGTTCAGGCTGACCTTGAATTTACTATGTAGTCAAGGCTAGCCTAGAATTATAGTGATCCTCCTGCCTCAGCCAAGGCTACCCTGGAATTACAGTGATCCTCCTGCCTCAGCCTCCCAAGTGCTGGGATTACAGGTATGTGCCACCATACCTGGAAAGTTGCTCTTTTAATTGTAGCTATTCTGCTATTGGATTTATTCAATACCTGTATAGACTTGGAACCTGTCCTACTGTCTTTAGCTGCTTCTCCATGGGAAAATGCAATAAAATAGCAATATGGTAGATAATGTTTCTTAAATGACCACATTGCTGAGATTTTTACAGGATTAGTACTCTTATGTCAAGAAGTTAACGTTCATCCAACATTTCTTACTTATGATGAATAATTTTAGCATGCATTAAGATAGGGAAGTTTTTTGAGATTCAGATATTCTAGATTCCCTGTAGACTCCAATATCAATTTGTCTAAATTTTTATATAAATTATGCAGATTCCAAAGACTGTGGGGGAATTGATTTAGAAATATATTGATCCAGTTGGCAATGCATCTACCCCAAATCTACCATGCAATTGGAAGAGTTGATTGCCAGAAAAACTAGAAAGGTGATTCAGCTATAAGTGGTAGTATTTTTTTTTATTACTAATGATAGCAAGAACTTTGAGCAGATGAAAATCTCCCTTGAACATACGCTGAAGACACACCAGGTATTCACAGTGAACTGCAGTAGTGTTCTGAGTGTTTCATTTTTTTAAGGAGATGAAGAACAGGGAAGGTTTATTGGGGAATAGGAGAGAGGACTAGGAATAGCTCCTGAGAGACAGGAGGGGTCCCGAGTGGGTTGCCGCGTACGTTAACCATCATTTTTAATGTGATGGTTTTTCTGCTGGGTTTTCCAGATCCTTGGCTTTGTTTGTCCTCAGACTCTTGCTTTTCATCTCAGAGAATATGCATGGAGAAAAAGATAAAACCAAGTAGTTCGTTTGTTCTAATTCTTATACTAGTGTTTTCCGTACCAACTTTGAGCACTGTCCTTAGTTATTTCAGCTGCCTCACAGATCAGGCAATTCTCCGTCGGCACTCGGTGATCACACCAGAATGTAAGTTCCATGGAGAGAGGAGCTGTGCCTGCTTTGCTCCGTGCTGCAAGCTGGTACCTGAAACAGCCTGGCATGGGGTAATATATACATATTGGTTCACTGGCTGGATGGAAGGGTGTCTTTAGAAACTTTGTGAACAAGGCGGTCATTGACAACTTCTGGGCCTATAACTTCAATTTACTGGAAAGTGGCCGAGTACTCTCAAATACAACCCATCCCTGAATATATTTTAAGTCATTTATAAATTTACATTAATGTTCATAAGTCTATAAAGTGACAATAATAAACTATAAATTTCTACATAATTAACCAGAAGTTTTGATTATCTCTTACTCACCACTTTTCCCCTAGTATTTGGAAAAATGCCTGGCATGTAGGTAGGTGCTCAATAAATAATTGTTGAAAGATGATAATACTTTGGACGTCTCATTTATGCATGCTTTGAATTGATTGTCAGCCTGCTAAGATGCGAATACTGGGAGATATTCTCTTTAACCTGTGTGGCCTTTGTCTTTTCTCCTCAACCTTGTTACTCATATACCAGGTTGGTTTAGGGGTTTGAAAGAGGATCATCAGTGAACTTACTCTCAGTTAGTTATTTCTGTATAGATTATATATTATCTTTATGCAGTATGGAATGCTTTTCTTATCTTCTCTTTGCAATACTTGGGGATTAAAACTAGGGTTTTTGCATTGACCTACATCACAGCCTGTTTTTTTTTTTTTTTTTATTTTGAGAGAGGGTCTTGCCAAGTTATTCAGGCTGTGCTTGAACTTGTGATCTTCTTGTCTCAGCCTCCCAGAGTGTTGCAATTATAGGGGTGCACCACCAAGCCAAGCTTATTTGCAACTTTTGTCCCATTCATGTTGTATCCTCATCAGACACAACTGAAGCAGCTCACTTACTTGCCTGCCTCGTCATTTGTGTACTAAGAGGAACTGAAAAGTTCGTTTTCAATACAGAAAAGCCTGGCTTCTCGTTCCCCAGCTTCCTGCATTTCCTCTTCCGGCGTCCCCTGCTCCAGTGAGGTGTCTGGAAGCTTTATTTTGATTAGTCTGAGTCAGGAATTGTGCAGATGTTAGAGCTGAAGGAAGAAAGAGCTAACGTGAGTAGAGAGAGGCTGAACAGAAAGGCAGCGGGAGTCCACGGAGCTCGTGTCAGAAAGCGTAGCTGGGTCTCGCAGACACTGAGGTGGGCAGTGCCCTGAGTTGGCGTCCCTGTCCGGGGAGGCCCGCCGCTGGGCACCCGCTTCCTCTTCCCGGCGCCCAGGGTGTTCCCCCCACACCTCGGCTTGTGTGTGGCTGACACAGCCCCGGTCCAGGCCCCAATTTTACAAAGCCTTACCCATCCAGAGTCCTCTACCATCCGGCTGACTTTTTGCTTATTTCACAATTCCACAAGACAGACTCTGTGTGTCCCCAGCTGGGTCAGAAATTGCTGTGGCTGAAGAGGCAGGTTCACAGGGTGGGCAGGCAGAGGCCGGTTCTCGAGAGAGGAGTGCGTGGGGGCGAAGTAACGCACGACTCGAGGACCAGCACTTGAAGTTTATTACGTGTACTCCATAGACCCTCTTAGGATGCCGTCCGGCCTGGTCTTGGTCATTATCCTTTAGAGCAACATTTCAATTATTTCACTGTCCACTGTTACAACTCTGCTAAAAAATTTTTGTACCTGTTTTTTCACTTTGAATTACTTCCCTTAAAATGTGACATTACTAAGTCAAGAGATGTGAATATTTCTGTGGTGTTTTTGCATAAAAAGTATTGTATCAGCTGGACATAGTGGTACTATGCCCAGAAACTTGCATAGTGGTACCAGCAACTTGAGAGACTGAGGTAGGAGGGTCTCAAGTTCAAGGGCAACATAGCAAGATCCTCAGAATAAAATATAATAATGGCTGGAGTGGTAGAACACTTGCTTAGCATGTGCAAGGCTCTAGGTTCAATTCCCAGTACAGCCAAAAAAAAAAAAAAAAAAATCGCCTTACAAGGCCACCAGTAACATTGGATTCCTCATTTCAGGGTTTTCTGGAAACTGTATCGGCTGCGGAGAAAGAGGATTTCGGTATTTCACGGAATTTTCCAACCACATTAACTTGAAGCTCACCACCCAGCCCAAGAAGCAGAAGCACTTAAAGTACTACCTAGTCAGAACCTCCCAGGGTGTGCTGTCCAAGGGGCCGCTTATCTGCTGGAAAGGTAATCACCTTCCAGGAAGGAGTGGGGAGGGTATGGGGACCTAGGAAACCTTACCCGGTTCAGAGTTCAGGTGCGATACGGATAAATAGCTCAAGTTCACAAGGCCTTCGGAAAACGCAAAGCCCCTCAGGTAGGTTACTGGATTTGCGCCTCATTGTTTATACAAGATTCACGGTTTAGGGAAGTGATGCCTCCAGGAAATCAGTGTAGTTCCTGGGGGCGACGTGGGCCCTTTCCAGCTCTCCCGTCATTTAGGTAGGACCTCAACGTGGCCGAGGCTCTTTCTACTTTACTTAAATTCTTTGGTAATTCTCAGGCATCTGCGTTTTTCTATTTTAATCGGACCACAGCATACTTAGAATAAACAATGCAGTCTTCATAGTTCCTGGGGAAATGTACTATTAGATTGGCAAACTTTTTATTTTAATTTGGAACAACTTAACTACACTATCTGGAAAAATGAATCCAGTTGATCGTAAGTTCAAGCCCAGCCTGAGCAACTTGGTGAAGTAGTAAAACCCTGTCTCAAAATTAAAAAAAAAAAAAGACAAAGGAAAAAGAGCTGGGGAGGTACCTCAGTGTGGAGGCCCTGAAGCCTCCCCAATACTGAAATCCTCAGTACTGAAATCCCCAGTGCTGAAAAAAAAGTAAGAAAAAATCTAGTTGAAACTTGACATCTTCATGTGTTTGAGAGGAATTGCTATAGGTTCTAGCATTGTTCTAATGCAATAGAGTACCCAGTCCTTATTCTATTGAGTAGTTTCTTAGATACTGAGATTTTTCCCCACAGAATAATTGTCTGTAATGTTTCTGTTTGTTGCCTCTATAAGACTTTTGCCTGACCATGAAAAATAGCATAATAAATCCCAATTACTATAACAGAATTGTCTCTGAACCTTTCACCATAATTATTCTTGGTCGCATTTGCAGTGCAGTTGTGTGATGCCTTACGAAATAGCTACATGTTCCAAGCTGGGTGTCATCAAAATTTAAAGCTTCCAGTTACTGAGTCATAAACACTGTGAATTATAGATCACTCTTTATCCTAATAAATTCTGAACAGTAAAGTAGAGTAGGTGTTATGTCTGTACCATCTAACTTTATTTTTTGGCAAGTGTATTCATTAAGATATCTTTAACTCTTTAGTGCTCAATGAGAATTCATCTTTCTATTGAAGAATAGCATTTGTTAAAGAAGCTTCAGATTTATAGCAGTAGCAGTTTAGAACTGGAACTGTATATGCTTATATGCACATGTAAAATATACAATATCAAAATGCATATATGCACATAATGCTCATAATGTGGAAATAGGCCTGGTGGCCAAAGTACAATATCTTTTTATAGAAGGTCACAGGTAGACACTTGAGAAATCAGAGTTTACCTTTTATGTGTATCCTATCAACTTGGAAGCCCTCTAAAGTATTCTGTAAGTTAACTTTGTCATATACAACCATTTCTATTCCTATTTTGTGTGCTACTTTCTGAAACTACTATGCAATAATTTGGTTGGAACTTACAGTCCCACAGGCTGTCATAGTATTTGCTATCTATCTGAATCAATGCAGAGTACTGTTGAGGTGTCCTACCAGAGTCCCACTAATATTAGATACTTAATATGAAGCTTACCCAGGCGTGGTGGTGCATGCCTGGGATTCTAGCCCTCAGGAGGCTGAGGCCAGAAGATTGCTAAAAGTTTGAGGCCAGCCTGGGCTACATAGTGAGTTCGAGGCCAGCTTGAATTACATAGCAAGATCCTTAATATGAAGCTTGGAATTGCACAATCAGTAATCAGTTTGAATATTGTCCATGTATTTCTTTTTTAAGAACTTAGAATAATAATAATTTGAGTATTTCTCTTTTTCTTCTGTCGATTTTTCTTTACTTCTGTGTCTGGACATAAATTAATGTTGAGTAGAAAAGGTCAAAGGTAGCCTAGACAGACTCTAGGTTCCTGCCCTACTTTTAAATACTGTAAATCCTAGGCAGAAGATTAATTAGTACTTCTAAAGCTTTTTGGGTTTTATAAATTATTGATACTTTAGCCTTCATCTTGAACTAGCTCCACTCCACTGACTGCATGAGTGTTGTCCCCCCGGGAACTAGTCTGTGAGGAACTAGGGTCTGGCTGTGTTTTTCCTTCCAAGCATGACAACCATTCCTGAGGATGAGCATTTTCTTGGAACCAGCCTTTGGGGCTGGGGATCTCCGCTACAGTAGTAGCTACCACGTAAGCAGGAGCAATTTGTGTCTCTATCACCTGTTTATACTGAAGAGCCATGCCTTCATCTAACACAATTTTTACCCCTTTCCAGAATGTAGAAGCCGACAATCCTCTACTACTTGCCACTCTATCAAACCAAACTCTTCAGTATCAACCGTCACCCCAGAAAATGGGACAACTAATGGATACAAAGCAGGATTCACTCAGACAGGTATGCTGTATTTTCTTTTGGCATTTCAACCAGCAGATGTATACTTAGTGAGACATCTTTAAGCTTACTGTTGGCCAGTTGGAGTAGAAGTATTTTTTAAATGAAGGTATTACTTAAGTTACTTGAGTATTAGAATTAGAGGTCAGCATTTAGGTCAATCTGTACATGACCAGGACTCATGTCCCAGCCATCCCGCCAGTGTTAGGCAAAGGATAGAGAAAGGAACTGACATTTGGTTAGAAATGTAGCTCAAGCATAGACGTGATTCTAGGGGTGTCTGACAGTACACAGTAAGTGGAATCCAGATGTCACAGCTGTCAGGGGCATGTACTGGACACACTATGAAGACTGGCATCCCAGGGGAGTCTACACAAACCTGCAGAACATTGTGGGGAGTCGTGCACCCAGCGGAATACAACACAGGGTCCCAAGGAGGGATTTCGGATCACAGTGGAAGACTCCAGGATCTCTTTTCTAACGGTGCAAGATAGGGGCTTGGTTGTAAATAACCAGATAAAGTCTTAGGGCCTGAAAAGTTACAATATCAGGGTGGGATCAACAGAGCGGCAACTCTTAAGGTGAGTGATTAGCTACGAGTCCAAGGCTTCTAAAAATTCTTGCTGTGGAAAGCACTGGCCTAGGCCCTGTGGTCAGGATAAGTCTCCAAGTGAGACCTGCATGACTCCAGGTTGCTGAAGGCTGGGGAGTGGTAACCAGAAAGATCCCTGCAGATAGTATTGGAGAAAATCACTCAGAAATGGTGCAGTTGGATTGTAGGCAAGAAGGAAAGTACAGTATTTTAAAAGAGTTTTTCATTTTTATGTGAAGTGCTAAACTTCACAGCATGTGTGTTCTGCCAATGTCCATTCAACCGCAAGAAGTTAGAAGGAAGGCTCTCTATACGCTACTTAGATTCCCCTTTCAAATCCGTGTGAACTTGTGATGAGTGAGTAAATCATTCCTGCATTTTTTGAGATGGAAATGATTATTAGAATATGTTAGCAACAATGCAAAGATATTAAGGCTAATTTTCCCTGGAGCACGTCTTGCTATGTGTGCCCATGCTCGCCCTCAGTCTCGAATAAAAAGGTCCAACTGTCACACTGTGCAGGAGAGAGGCAGAACCTACGACCTAAGAGGAGAGAACATTTCTCCTTAGAATAAATAAGAGAACATCATGTCACCGGGTATTCAAGAAAGCAAAAAGGTGACGTTTAGCTCTTGACATTGAAAGATTAGCCTGCATTGCATTAGTGACAAACCTACATGTCTTTGCTAGAATATTATTTTAGTAATTTGATGTATTCAGTGGTATGTTATCTGACACTGGACCTTGAGTCTAATCAAATGGAACTTTAAAACTACAGTATTAAAAATTAATATTTACTTCTCTCCAACAAAAATATATCAAGTGTTTATTATGTTCTAAGAACCTTATCAGATGCTATAAAGCAGGGTCTAGTGATTTTAAAACCACTCAGAGAAGGGATTAAAAAACAATAAAGCATGTTTCTTTTCCTATGAGGGAAAGGTGGATGTATAAATAACAAGGTGTACCTGAAAATCATGCAAAGATATTAAAATGCCAGTAAGCAATAAAATAATTTAACTATACCGGGCAATATGTTTTTGAAAACAAGTTTTATTCTGAAAGAGAAAATCCAGATTTTGCAAAGATTTTGGCATTAGCAAAAGAATCCCCAGTTCCATGATGAGACACAGGCAAGGGAGGGAGAAGGTCACTAAATGTCTCCAGTGAGCACAAGAGGCCGAGCGTTAGTCCAGTGTTCCTGTGCATTCCCTAGTAGGGTGGGAGAGGCGGTTTAACCAGGAGATTAGTTACTAACAATTTTAGGTGCAATCCAGGAAAGCTACTAGGAGCAAATACCTTCGGAAGTAAGGCTTTCTATCTAATACTTTCACACTGATGAATTTATGTTTATAGAGGCTTCGGTAATTTCTTCTAACACATGTTAAATGCAGTAGGCTATAAGAATTTTATATTAGCATAAAACATAAAATTCAAACTCATAGATTAAGATTCAGCTTTCTATGAGATTTTTTCCTTGATCTTAATCTGCAGCGTATAACCAATCCCAGTGAAATAAGTTCTCGTTTTGACTGAAAGGGGCTATGTCTACATCTCCCTACATTATCTACACATGCCGTATACACACACATTGTGTTTAATCAGAAAAGGATTCAAGAGTAGATGAAAAAGAAATTTCTTACCCCAAGATTTTGAAAATTTCCATGTTTTCTTCTAAAGGCTTTACTGTTGAAGTTTAAGTCTGTGGGCCATTTTGCGTTAATTTTTGTGTACGGTGTAAGTGAGAGTCTACGTTCACCTTTGTTTTTAATCCCCCGGAACTGAGAATTGAACCAGAGTCCTTCTCACTGGAGTTACACCCCAGTCCTTTTTTATTTTTTAATGTTGATTTTATTTTTTATCTTTTGGTCTCCCTAAGTCACTAAGTTGCCCAGCCTGGGCTCGAACTTACACTCTGTCTCAGCCTCCCAGAGTTCTGGGGTTCCAGGCATGCGTCTCCACCCCTAGCTCTGTGCTCGTCTTTTCACATGTGGCTATGTAATTGTCCCAGGCCATTATTGACCAGACTGTTTTCAGTGAGTTGCGCTTCTCAGAAATACATAAATATAAGGATTAATTTATGAAAAATTGATAAAATGGTCCTCATCAAAATTCAAAAATTTTACATTTCACATGACACCACTAAGATAAACAACAGATGGGGGAAATATCTGTAAAACACAAATCTAATAAAGCATCAGTGTCTAGAATATATATAAACAGTTGTAATCCAATAATAAGATAACAAACAGTCTAATCAAAACATGGGCCAAGAGATAGATACGTACAACACTATTTGTAGCAGTGTTCCTCACACACTGAAAACAGCTCAGATGTCCAATAGTAGAATGGAGAATAAAAATGAATATATTTATGTAATGAAATACCATATAGCACTGCAAATGAACAACTACTGCATCTAGCACTATAGCTGAATCTTACAAGTCATGGTGGTGAGCCATAAAAGTCATGAAAGGCTTGGTCCAATATTGTTTCATCTCTATGATGATATTTTTAAAAAGGCAGATCTATGTCAGGGTGTATACATGACACAGTGACTACCTCTAGGCACAGGGAGGAAGATGGGATGGGAGGGAGGGGAGAAGGGAGGCTGCTAGATGTGGGAAGTGTTTTGTTTCTGTTCTTTCTCTTGACTTAGATGGTGGCTGTATCAGTTGGCTTTCTGTTACCTGACAAACACCTGAGATAATCAACTAACGCGGAGAAGCTTACTTTGGCCTTTACAGTTTCAGAGGGTTCAGTCCATGGCCAGCTGGCTCTGCGGCTTTGGGGTGTGTGGTACGGCTGAACATCGTGGTGGGAAGTGTGTGGTGGAGCAAAGCTGCTCACCTCATGGTGGCGGTTAGCAGCTGTACACTGGCAGGGCAGGGCTGCAGTGCGGCACCGCATGGCTGACGTGGACAGGAGGGGTCGGAACAACCCTAAGTGGAACTGGAAGTGCCCAATGCATTTCTGTCCCTGTTCCCTCTTGGCCTCCTTTCACTGACTTCCAAGAGTATAGAGCGTTTGTGCTGCTTCTGTGTCACAGCGTTCCGTGATGTGCTGCGTCCAACCCAGACCTGCTTTGCTCACACAACTTATCACTTCTCTACACCCAGCGACAGCAGTTTAGAAGGTGGTTTTTATCAGAAAGTATTATTTAACTGTCCCTGCCATGTAGCTGTGTTCATATCTGTCCTCTTTAGATTTGTTCTCCTTTGGATGCTGAGGTCCAGGTGATCAAAAGTTCTTCTTCCAAATTGGTTCCTCATGAATATTCATGTAATGATTTACCTAAACATTCTCCTTTTTCCAAATGTGGTAACACTCCGGCTGGCAGATTTCCCCCTTCTAACTTCATATTGTGGTCCAGGGCTGTGTCTTGTTCTGTCCAGTGCAACCCTAGAGCCTTGTGTAATGCCTGGCGTATCAAAGAGGCTCAGTAAATATTTGATGGATGAATGAATGGGAGGGAAGGAAAAGGAAGAAAACCAATAATTGCCTCCCTCTGGGGCAGGAGGGGAAGCTGAACACCATGAACGCACTTGGAGATTTCTCTTGCGAAAGAGAAACGCAAGTATTTGGCAAGTGCGAGGAAGAATGGCCCTCTTTGTAGACAGAGGAAAACTGTAAGTCATAACAGTGAAAAGTCATTGTCGCCGATTATATTAGCCAAAACACTCAAAGTGATAATACGCAGTGCTGACAAGGACATGGTAAATCGGACACACTTAGGCTGGTGAAGGTGAACAGTGATGTGACCTCTTAAGAAAGCAGTTTGGCAGTGTGTAATGAGAACATTAAAAATATTTATACCCTTTTGCTCTGGTAATCTCCCTTGGAAGGCTAGCCAAGAACATAACCCAAAAGGAGAGGCAAGATATCCTTTTATATTAACTAAAAAGGAGAAGCAACTTAGTACAGAAATAGTTGAATAAACCATGGCATCCACACATGATAAAGTGCTAAAACAGACCATTATGAGCACTGTGCAGCCCTCTCAGGAAATAATTCTGTTAAGAAAATTAATATTAAAACTCTTTTGTTCTGACGTGGCAAAAGGTAATGTGGTTAAGGTATGTACTAAATGAAAAAAACAATGGTTTAAGGGAGAAGTGTTATTTTAGTGTATTTGTTTCAGGTTTTGAATTTTTGTATCTTTCATAGGTTAAACATTCAGAGCTTCTCAGAATTAAGCCAAAAGTACCATATAGATCAGTAGGAAACAGCTACACTTTACCAATTTTTCTTCAGTATTCTCTGCGTGTGTAGGAACACAGGGCATCTAGCTTGTGGGTTAAGTTCAAAATAAAGCAAGAAAGTGACAAAAGTAGAATTCAAATTCCCTTGTTCTCTCCTGAACAATTTTGTGAACAATGACGGGGTAATAGGAAACAGGGATGCAAAGGTG